CGGGCGCCGCGCGGCCCGGGACGATGCTGCGGCTCGTGTCGCTCAAGTTGGGGCGGCTGTACCGCTACGCGAAGCTGGCCGTGCTGGGCAGCCTGGCGGCGGCGCTGGTGCTGAACACGCACTCGCTGCTCGCCTCGCTGCAGCGCAACGAGCTCTCGGAGCGGCGCTTCCTGCAGCTCAATAAGTGCCCGGCCTGCTGGGGCACGAGCTGGTGCCGCAAGTTCCTCAACGGGCAGCTGCGGCTCGAGAGCTGGGGCCGCCTGCGCCTGCTCGACTTCCTCAACGTGAAGAACGTGTTCTTCGCGCGCTACGGCGAGCCCCGCGAGGGCAGCCGCCGCGTCGTGCTCAAGCGCCTCGGCTCCGCGCAGGAGCTCGCCGACATCGACGCCAAGATCTGCCGCCGCGCCACCGGCAGGGGCCGCTGCGACCTCCTGCAGGCGCTGCACGCCACCGAGTTCGCGAGCCTCAACGGCGACGTGCGCCTCCTCACCCCCGACGCCGTGGAGGGCTGGTCCGACCTGGTGCACTGCCCCTCGCAGCGCCTGCTCGACCGCCTCGTGCGCCGCTACGCCGAGACCAAGGACTCGGGCAGCTTCCTGCTGCGCAACCTCAAGGACGCGGAGCGCATGCAGCTGCTCATCACGCTCGCCTTCAACCCGGAGCCGCTCGTGCTGCAGGTGCGCCGCTCCCGCCGCCCGGGCGGGGCGCTGGATCGGGCGCTGCGGGACGCGGCCCGTGCCCGCGCGCCGCGGGAATTCCCGCGCCCGGGAATGGGGCGCTCGGGGCCGCCGTGCGCGGGGAGCGGCCCCGCGTGGGGACCGCGCTGGGCTCCGCCTTGCCCGGAGGCGGGAAGCGGACACAGACCCCGCACGGGCTAATGCGGGTGAGAGATAAGCAGGGCTCGCTGTCAGCGAGTGCAGTAGTCCCGCGCTGTAGGAGGATTGGCTCTGGGTCTGACAGCAACATGGGCTTTGATGTGTGCTGCAAAGCTTGGGCTCTGTTTACATTTTAGATGAAAATCCATGGCACTGTTCGGTTACGTTTCTTCCGTGTATCTATACAAATGTATAGCTCCACACACTAGTATTGGATGATGCCTCCCTTTCCTTTAAATCTCGGCTTGCGGTGCTCTTGAAGGAATTCCGGGCATGCCGTTAGTGTGTAAGTTTGGACCCAGGATTGTTTTGTCTGACTGCAGTACTATCCTTGTCTCTATCTCGTGTATGCCAAAAAATACTTGCAAATGCATTTGGCAACAGCACTGTGCAATTACTGCTCTAAACAGCTAATTTTTCTCTTGTGAGCGGGTCAAGAAGTTGCTGTTGCCCCAGCAGGGCTTGCCCCCCAGCAGGTCCCCTGGGATCGCCCGCACGAAGAGCTGAGACACTGCTGGGTTTGGAGCACGGTCCCTGGGCAGTGCGTCCCCTGCCCTTCAGTCGCCCCACATACAACCTGGGGGGTTGTCCTCAACCTTGTCACTTGGCTATTTAATGTACTCAGGGTAGACTGCATCCCCTTTTCAGTCAGCTTGCTCCTGAGGCTAGTGAAGGGGAAGCTCCACATAAATTTTAAGAGTATTACCGTGCTGTGACTGCGCTTGTGAATTCTCTGAGCATAGATTTGTTTGGCTGTTCTTAGCACAGCTGAGCTCTTGATTTGAGCACAGGCTGCGACACACACAGCGTGGACCTAGCAGGCCTGAAACAGCACCGTGTGCTCCCTCATGGCTTGAGGGTAGGGTGCCCTTTACAGGCAAAGGATACGGGACAGCAGCAGTGTTTGCTGTTACCTGATAGATCAAAAGCTGTTYGGCAGCACCGGTTAATTTAAGAGCCTTTAATAGCCTTGATTGCTGGAAGCTTCTTGATAAGCTGCAGGTGGTCCTGGAGGCTGTGGAGCAGGATGTGGAAGCACCCTGTGTGCCCAAGCAGCAGAGCGCGGTGCTGGGAGGCGAGGCRGCCCCTTGGCTGGAGTCTGGTGAAATTCTCTGTCACCTGATTTTGAAGTCAAAGGTATTTGCASAGACTTGAAAACTTGGCTACTCAGGCATACTCTGGGGGAAGAAATAGGGGTAATTCAGATCAGCATTGTGGTTTTTAAAAGCACTCAAAGTTGATGTATTTTATTTTTTCCGGAAGAATGTTCATAAACTTTAGAATTGCGTACTGAAGGCTTGTATCTCTTACAATTTAATTCTCAATGGAGGTATCTTAAAAATCATTCATAGGAATTTGTATTAACTCTTCTCATTTGSATTGCATGCAACTTCCCACTCCATTTCTCTCATCTCTAGCAGCACAACACTTGAGGAAGGAGCAGTTCTGTGTCATGCAGCYATTGCAATAGCAAGGTATGCTTGAGAGGGGAAGTTATCTTCTTATCAGGCATGATAACTGTCTACTGAGAGTTTTGCTTGTGTTTATACATGAGATATCTCAGTATGTARTTTCTGCAGTATTGAGTAGGGCAGATATTGGTATGGGAGTGAGATCTGGAGAGTGTTTCAGAAAAAAAATCCTCAGCCTCCAAGAAGGCATGCATGCATACCTGCATGCAATCGTATGAAGAATCAGGTTTTTGATTTTATTTCTTGATGCATTTCACTGATGGCATTTGCCCGTAACCAGAGGGCACGAGGAACAGGGTGGTTTTGCCTTGGGAACTGCCTGCCCTGTGGCTGGCGCTCGCAGCCACGCAGGGACCAGCTCCCTTCCGAGTAAAGACACGTGCCCAGTTCGAGTGTCTGTCTTTGCAGCACCCCCAAGATCTCCTGGTTAGCGTTAAAAGACAGTTTCCATCTGTCCTAGCAGGACGGAGCCATATGTTCTGTTAATTGGTGTGGCGTAAGTGCAGGCAGAGCTGCTCCTGCCTTTGTACTGACTGCTCTGTTGGTCTAAAATATCACCGGGGGGACTTCCAAAAGCATGACAGGTTTGCTCTGTGTTGTGAGTGTACCCCTGGTCTACAGAAACTTAGTGTTTTTAAAATAAAATGCTTGCAAACCGTTTCTTTTTAACCCATAGAAGTTGWTTGTAAGTTGTATCTAGAAAGTGCTGCTGTTACTTGGTCTGAAACAACGCAGCTTGCATTACAGTTTAAAGCAGAACTGCTTCTTTCAACAAAACTCTGCTTTGCTCCAAAGCTGTTCAAAATAATCTTTAAAGGAACTATTGAGGTGAGCAGCGCATACTTAACGTGTAAGCTGTAAATTATATTTAGCACTCTTTATTTCTTTCAGTCTAAAGAAAGTCCCAGGATCTAAATAGAAGAAAGTTATAGTTCTGTATAAGTGTTTAGTTTTCCARATCCTTAGAGCTAATAGCCTCTTCTTGCAACTTCTCATCATTCTTACTCCTTGTGCAAAGACCAGCTGTGGAATTGCGCTGCATGAACAACTGTTCCTGCAGAACCTAAAGCTCTCCTGTTTTCTGTTCATGTTACCAGTACGTTTTGTTTGTTTTTGTATTGGGAAAGGTAATTGGCATCTTGTATTCATATCCTARAGCATTAGCTGTGGCCTTTTTGAAACAGTTTCTTGCTCGGAATTCACTGAAAGTGGCAGTTCAGTCAATTGTTAGAAAACTATTTTGCCAATTCATTCACAACTCGGCAAGAAGTGAGTAGGCAACTTTTTGTAGTTCTGTGGTATTCTAACCCCCTTAGCGGAATCCTATGTGGTATTAAAACCTGGTGCCTCTTCAGACTTGGTGTTTCCAAAYGGATAATTGTTGTGTTAGATACTGATGGACTTTCTGAAGTGTCTCCAAGAGAGCTTGCATTATTTCCTRTAAGTGCCTCTGCATACAGACAATGGCATTTTTAGGGGATGGTTAACAATGAAACATGCTAGGTAGCCCCCATGGTGGGGGGAAGTAGCATTGAATTTTCCCTGAATTAAATAATTGAGATTTTCTTTTAGTCCCTTTTATTTTGAAAATTAACTTTTAGAAGTAGGTGTAGGCCATCTCTGCCATGATTTCTTTGTAGTGATGTATCCCTAGCCCATAACCTGAGAAGTAGTTATTGTCGTCAGCATCTGTTGCCAGACTAAAAACTGGTAGGAATAAGTAACAACCATTCACTGCAATCAATTTCCTACCCTTGTGTTCAATCATAATCCATTGGTTTGTGTGAAGAAATGACATCAACTATAGCTGTAAAGTTTATGGGCAGTTTAATTGTTGAGGAACTTCTGAGTTGGTTTATGTTTAAAATCCCTTGCGTATTTTTGTTCTATGGTGTGTAAGTTCAGCACCTGATATTTTTCTCTTGTTATGAATTGTATTTAGTATGTGATTGAAAGCTAAAAAACAAAGAGCCCCAAGACTTGAATAAAATCAAGGAATCTGCTTTCAGTGGGGAACACTAGTATTGTGAATTTTGCATGAAATCTGTTCCTCTGCACATGCATTTGGGCTCATATGCAGACTTTTTGGGGCRTTTCAGTTGAATGGCGAATGATTTGGCGTGCGGTTGAAAGTCACATTGCTTTTGTTACATACACACACATACTAGCATTCACAAATACTTTTGCGTGTATATATTTTAAATTGCATTTCAATAAAAGAAGGCATCTGCTTTTAGGCTGTTTTTAAACCTCCTTGAGATCTGAAGGATTGCTTTGTAAAGCCTGATCTCCAAGGCTGCGGGGCTGCAGAGCTCTGCGTGTTTGCCCGGGTGGCTAAAATAAGTCTGTTGACACTGCAGAATCAACAGTGCTCTGGGAGAGAGAACTAAATTTTTTTTCCTTTTGAGGAAGAGCACATTATATAAATTCCTCTTGCTGTGCCAGTTTGTGCCTCAGTAAATGTACTTTAATATGATAGTTTTAAAAAAGGTGTTACAAAGCGGGTAACATTTCCAGCAAGGTCGTGATGAGCAGTGGGACAAGTTGCTGCTCTGCCTGTGGAATCTAGTTCAGTTGTGTCGTATGCCAGATGTGTGGCCTGCTCTGCGTGTGCTGTGGTGTGGTCTTATTTTGATTCACTTTATAGAAAAAAGAGGAGCCATATAGCAAATTCTAGAGTAGTTTTTCTAATGGAAAGGTTTTTTTTTTTTTTTTTAATGTAACAGTGGAACAATAATTTCAAGGTGTAAGTAGTCACTTCTCCATCTTTTCTTGGATTTTATTAAGATGAATTATTAGTTTGCAGAAGCAAACTAATGGTGCATGGTATTCTCTAAAGCTTTTGATTCAGGGGCTTTTTTGCTGCTGTTATTGCAGACTGCAATGAGTTTTACCAACTTCAGGCCTCTGTGCCTTTACTACCTAATGTAATCCACAGCTCTGAACATGCAGAAGCAGTGACAGATTTGTACATGGCTCGTGTTTAGACAGGTGGGAGTGAGGAAGACAAATGAGCTATTAGTCTGTTTTATGCTCAAGTAAAATGATAAATTCACCCTATTAATTCTCAATATTTCTCCAGAAACTGCAACGTGCTTTTGTTTTACCTTTTTAAGAYATAAGTGCAAAGTAATTCTGTTGGGAACAAAGCGTATTTTGTCCCTTTGACAGGATTCGTTTAAGGTTTGGAATTTTGCTTAGAGGRATGTCATGTAGCTACTCTAGGGTATTAAAAATATTTCTTTTTTGGAGTTGTTTTGTCATGTTAACATTTTCCATCTCTGCTAAACACATATGCAATATATGTGTTGTATGCGGCCTGCTSTACGAATAGAGAAAACAGCAACTGCTTTAATGAGCTTCCTAAGCTACTGGATTGAAGTTTCTCAGTGTCCACTAGTGCATTTTTTTCAAGCTTTTAAAGGCCTGTGTGTTTGTCTGTGGTTTCCATGGCGTTTGTGTGTGGATTCGCAGATGGAATGTGAGTGGGTGTATGGGAATTGTAGGCGCTTTCATCAAATCGCTATTCCCTCATTCTGAACAAAAGCTCATTTTTTTTTAATCTGAATTGGCAAATGTACAGATTTTTCTAACTAGTGTTCAACCAGTGCATTTAAGGACAGATTTATTTAATCAAGCCTTTTGATGTTAGTAGTTGGAGAGGTTAAATAAGAACTATGCCCTTTATTCTGTTCAACAGTCTGATTTTTTTGGTTTTTTTTTTTTTTTTTTTGGCGGCTACTTAATTAAGCTTTTTCTTCTGAATTGACCTTGCTTGTGGAAACCTTGTTTAACGAGCAGACAAGCTTGTGTTTGTGTGTGACTGGCCATTTAAAGCAGTAATACGTGGAGGGGGAGAGTCTTGCTGTAAACTACAACTCGCTTAAGAGAAAAAGTTCCTGAAAGAGAATAGTGCAGCAAGTGGCAAATCTTTGCCTGCAAAGACAACATATCTGCGCTTCAGTTACAATTTCCATCAAATCCAGGCTGTGAGCCTGGAGAACGGGCTGCTTGTACGAGTGTTTATCCCCTTCSTCAGCTCCCGGCTGGGGTGACGGGCGCGGATGCGGCCGCTGCAGCCGGTTGGGAGGGAGCCAGCGCGGCGATGTTGTTTGTGCATGTGCACATGTTGGCAGCATTCCCTGTGCTCCTCTTGTCAAAAGCTCTTTTGATTGCCGCAGACTTATAAATATATCTGTGTTACACTGGGGCATGCAGATGCCGTCCTGCTGCTGAGCTTCCCTTCCAAATAAACGGAACTGCTCCCAGAGTTTCCTGCGTGCAGTGGATGTGGGAGCGTGGTGCAGGATGCTGAACTTGGGGCACGGCTGTGGCTGATGCTGCCCTCGCACAATCAGTTTAATCCGATTTACAAACRGGGGGCTGCTGCTGGGAGGGAAGGGTCCCCTTGCCCTGTCCCCATCCCTGCAGCCTGTGGCAGCCTGGATCTGGCTGTGTTGTTTCCTGGTGACATGGAGAGCGTTGAAATTCAAGTGTTTGGGAGGGATGCACCGTGTTTGTTTGGAGCTTTGGTGCCGAGTAGCTTCATTTTTATTAGAGGTAGAAATCCAGCGATGCCAGAAGGCTGCGGTGTGGAACCAAGGCTGCCCTTGCGTGCGGGAGCCATGAGGAAGAGGCCAAAGTCACCGTCATTTAACGTGTGCATATTTGGARTAAGATTAAACAATTCTTCCACGCGTTTTGATTGCATGGCCGTGAAAACAAAGAGTCTACTGACTCTGAGTCAGAGTAGACGTTGGCCAGGAGCGTGCTAGCCGAGCAGGAACCTCTCCTGAAGCTTCTCCTCCTCAAGGGCTCCTAAGGACCCGTGGAAGGAGGACGGGGTGAGTGCCCTGTGYGCTGCTGAGGGGAGTTCCTGCCCCGTGCCGGGAGTCAAAGCGAGAGCYGCGTTCTGGAGACGCGGAAAAGCAGCCCCCAGATCCGTTCTTCATTTCATTCATTTGGGGGTGRTTCTTGCTGTCAGTGAGAACTTCATGTTCGTGGTTCCTGCTGTATAGTTCTGCACGCGTTCAGGTGATGATTCGGGAGCAATGGGACAGGAGCAGAACCTGCCTGGCAATTCCCGGGAGAAGGTGYCCYRTGGAAGCCGTGGTGCTGAGGAGCTGTCATGGTGCTGCAGGAGATCTCTGCATTTGTAGTAGTTCTCTGTGTAAGTTTCTGAAACTAAGTATCTTTTGTTGCAAAGTGACCTGTTTGATGGCCAGAAGCTCTGTGGAGGATGTTGGTTTTTCCTTCCTGAAATCTGCAGCTGTTGTGAAGTTCTGGAAATCACATCCAGCTGAGAGAAACCCTTACTGCAGCACCAGCCACAGTCCTCATTTTGCCTTTTCTTCCTCTGTATTTACCAGGAGTGAATTTMACAAGTAGAGGAGACCTGTGATCTTGAGTAATGCGAGGGGATTCATTGATCGAGTAAACTTTTCAGCAAGAAGCCAATTAAGAATTCAGTCAAGAAATTACTTGATCAAAGTTGCTTCCTGATGTGGGAGTGGGGATGCACAGAAAGCCAGTGAGATGTGCAAGCAAGTTCTGTGAATAATGATTGCAGAAGGTGGTTTTGGCTGTAGTTATTGTCTGGGCTGTCATTATCTAAGCAAATCTATTTTATTTTTTTAAGGGAGGGAGATTTCTAGATGTTTAATTTGTCAATGTAGTGTTTGTATCAAATGTAGCTTTAATTTCTCTATTTTCAGAAGAATTAATTAATATTAAGAAATATTAATTCATGGGCACAGAATATAGTTCCCAGCGTTTTGCAAAACTTCCACTGTTTCTGGCCAATATAAATACTCTTACCTTGGCAAAGAGTTATCTGATATCTAGTCCTTAGCATAAAATGATCAAAGCTTTGTTATCCAAGGAGGCACAGATGAATAAAATCAACATTTGCTTTAAGGGAGGAGAGAATTTCRGGGTTGTGGTGACCGGGTGGGTCAGCCCTGCTGTTTGTGTGGTTTCAGTTTGGTGAGCAGTGGGCTGCACTTTCCATGACGTCCTGTGACTCTTCTCTCCATTACCACAACTGCTCTGCTGTCATAGCTGTTAGACTAGTAAGTCTAAAACTCCCATTCAGACAGAAAGCCTGCTGTGATTCARCCCATGGGGTAGAACTTGTGCTGCGTTATCGATGTGAAGGCGACGGAGYTGTCATCTGGTGGCATGGCAGTGGGCGAGCTAGAGGAAGGATGGCAAGTACAAATACGTCCTGATAATTAAAGTTAGTGTGCATTTTGCTCTAAAGGAATGCTGAAAGTATTGAGCCTAACAATTTAGGGCTTTTGCTCTTCATTTTTTGACATTTCTTCCAGACCCATACRATGGAGGATACATTTTAAATACTTGTGTATGTTCATTTTGAAGGTTTTGGGGCACATTAAGCAGAACTGAAATACAAATTTTTTTTTATCGCTTGTAGCATCTTCTTAGTATTCAGTCTCTTGGGTTAATTTCCAAGAAATTTCCCATTTCTGAGTGGAGAAAGATTTTTATTAGTGTTACAGTTTTATGTGGTGCTGTATAATGCCCWTGCATGCAGATGCATGCATGCACACAAAGTCTGTATGTGACAACTCATCAGGCGATGAATTATTACAAATACTAGGGRCATAGACAGTTCTGAACTTCTTGTTATACCACAGTCTGTTCTGTATTCCTTTCTGTGAGATCTCCATGTGAGAGGATCCTCAATTGGAAGTCAATCAGCTGGAGGAAAGCCAGTTGTAACTGGGTTGTAACTTCATTTTTTCTTTTTTAGATTACAATTAAAAATGAAGTGGCAATTGCAAGCATGAGATTTATATTAATGAAAATGCAACTTGTTTTTATGCGCAGAGTTTTCCGTCGGATGAAGGCTGGCCGTTCGCCAAGTACTTGGGAGCGTGCGGGAGGATGGTGGCCGTCAACTACGTYGGGGAGGAGCTGTGGAGTTACTTCAACGCGCCCTGGGAGAAGCGGGTGGATCTGGCCTGGCAGCTCATGGAAATAGCGGAGCAGTTGACCAACAATGACTTTGAGTTTGCACTCTACCTCCTCGATGTCAGCTTCGACAACTTCGCCGTCGGACCCCGGGACGGGAAGGTTATCATTGTAGATGCAGAAAACGTTCTGGTAGCAGACAAAAGATTAATCAGACAGAGTGAGTTTCTCCTCTCTTCCCCTCACCSTCTCGTTTCTGTTGTTTCTTTCTCTGTAATCACAAGTCATTTTTAAAGTATATGTATTTGCTGAAACCCATTTTGTCATAGTGGCTTTATTTGACAACTAATTACCTTTAGAAATAGACTACTGATAAGATTGACTAATCTGTCAGTTACACAAAGTGTTGAGGTTACCTGAATTTGATTTACATATATTTTTAGTATCAGTATCCCTGTTTAAATGGGGCTAGCGGAGTAAAGGATTTGGACACACAGTGGCCAGGCAGAGAAAGGACTCGACTGGCTGCTCAACCTTAATGAAAATAGAGAGTGCTCCCGTTTTTCCAGACGTCTGTCAGCAGGGAAGSCTTGGTGTTCCCCGTCTGGCGAAGGACACCTCATTGCCACTCGCCCCTAGTTGTGTGGCCTGCCTCTGCTCTGCTGTAAAGGGAAGTGCTGTAATTTTAGTGCTGTTTCCAGGTTGGAATAGTGAAAATCAGTTCGTCTTTTTGTCAACTGTGAAAAGCTCAAAGCAGCAGGAACAGGAGAGGTGTTTGACAAAGTAGCATTACGTGGGTTTTTATTTCTTTTGAGCTTGTGTGGAAAACTTTACAGACCTAGAGGCTGGAAATACTGAATGCGAAGTCCTAGTTTCTGCAGGAGCCTTTGGCAGTAGGCCAAGCAATTCCAATTTGCTTTGGGTGAATGGATTTTTACAAAGCTTTTCAAGTAGACTTCATACACTGAGTTGCARAATGAATTTTAAGACTGTGTTCTCYCTTCATGGACTCTTCTAAAGGAAGTCAGGTTTACTTATTTATCTGTTTCTTATTAGGCGTATTATGCATTCTCACAGAACTTAAAACTATCAGAGTACATAAAGAATCTTTTCTAATGTACTGATTATCCAGTACATTTACTTTATTACTCATAGCCACACAAATACTTGCACTTTTTTTTTCCTGCCCTATGTTAAAATAATGCTACTTAAGACTTTCTCTTTTGGAGCATGTCTAAATTGCTGGGTTGCAGAGGTGTTTAGCTGAACTCTGAAAGCACCGATTCCTACATGGAACAGGAATAATTAGTGTCTGCAGAAGCTGGATCTGGAAAGTCTCATGCTTGCATCTGTTGTGTGTGGCTCTCAAATCGAGTTGGGTCTAATTAAGATTTTGATGCATCRTTTATAATAATTAAGAAAATGAAAGCAAATATTAACACAAAAATTCTTGGTCTTRGTATAATCTTAATATTTAATACTGACTTCCTTAATCTCCTGAAAAGTTTCATTATCACTCTATCCAGAGTGATTAATGTGACTGTTTAGATATCTGAGCATGTGCATCTTGTCCAATGATGCTATAGTGAAATATTTAATCCTACTTCTGTGTTGTATATCATAGTTGAGTTTGCTCGACTCACTTTGTTCCTCAGTCTTCTATTATTGGCTTTTTCCCCCCATTCCACGTTTGCTGTTCACTGCACACATTTTACCTGGCGCTTTCTCATTGTAGTAGTCAGCCCTCACTAGCTTTTTCCAGGCCAGCTTGCAGTGCACTGTARATGAGTAGAGCAATAGCCAGTCCAGACACTAGCAAAAATTAGTACATTTTTCTGTGTAGGTCAGTCCCTAAGGAGATTTGCAAAACTCTGAGACTTTCTGAAAAGGCCAACATGTCAAATCTGGCAGTAATCCAAAAATGTAGGGAGAAAAACTTCATTTAAAGTTTTCCATCAGAAAATAAAAACAGCTCAGGAGCTTTCACATTTATTCATTACTGTCAAGCTATTTTCTGTAGAATGAGGTTTCCAGTGAGGGCTTTATGATAAGGCAACTGTTTTAGCCCCATTAGAAGTTTCTGCATGTGTAGAGCAACAAGCAGTGGTTCTCCGAGCTGCCTATCAYTTTCTAAATCTATAAGCTGTAATTCTTAGGAGCTTTGAAAGGATCTGAAGTTGCTATTCCAATCTTTGGTGAATGTTCAGGTCACTTATCTCCAGATACAATGTGACTCCAGGCTAAAACATAGGCRTGATCATAGTAATATATGAGCTAAAGTTTTTGTTCAGTTTTGTATTTGTATTCGTTATGATCTTTGTGGTTGCAGCTTAAAATGCAACTTGTTTCATTTTTTATATGTTTCAAAGTGCTTTGTGTGTTCATGAATGTAATTTGTTTTGCTCAAATATGTTTTTTTCAGATATTATAGGTAGTGCATCTGCTTTTTAATATGCGCCTAACTACCTCTCTAACGTGAGAAATGGCAGATAGTGTTTCAGAAGTTAATGGTAGTTGCTTTGCAATGGGAGTTTTTATTTTTTGGTAGATCATTTGCAAGTTTTAGTTCACAGGGCAACTGGAACAACCAGGTCTAGTTGTTGCTAAAATAGATCATGTTTGTGGGTTAGGTTTGTGTATGGGGATTTTTTTCTCCTTTTCTCTCTGGACTCCAGCTGTGAATCATTCTCTTGTACTTGTTTGTGCTTCATTTTTCCCTCTGGGCATGTGTGCGAATGTGGATTTCTTCTGTTTTCTGTGCGGTGAGTGTGTGCACATGTTGTTTTCTGTTTGTTTGTTTTTGCTTCCTTCTCTTTAGCTATTTACTTTATCCTTTCTTTATGTCTCTCCCGTATTTTTGTACTGCCAGGGCTGTTTCACCTGGAAGGTGCATCAGGTGGATTTTCAAAAACTAGAACATTTGCAAACTAGAACAAGAACAAACTAGAACATTTGCATCCAGAGTTGGTTTGAGTCTCACCAGTTAGCTTTGCGTTGGGCTCTGTGTAGAGCCCCGCGTGTGTCCTCCTGCTCTGACCTCTGACCTGTTCCTTTCTTTTTCCTGTGTGATACTTCACAGATAAACCAGAAAACTGGGATGTATGGTACGAAAGCAAGTTTGATGACTGCGATAAAGAAGCCTGCCTGTCCTTCTCCAAAGAGATCCTCTGCGCTCGCGTCACCGTGGACCACAACTACTACGCGGTTTGCCAGAACCTGCTGTCGAGGCACGCCACGTGGCGGGGCACCTCGGGGGGGCTGCTCCACGACCCCCCGGCCCACGTGGCCAAGGACGGCCGCCTCGAGGCCCTGCTGGACGAGTGTGCCAACCCCAAGAAGCGCTACGGCCGGTTCCAGGCCGCCAAGGAACTGCGGGAATACCTGGCACAGCTCAGCAACAAYGTGAGGTAGTCCACGGAGGAACAGCCGGCGCGCACCGCCTGGAACACTAGCAGTCAACAAGGTCTTGAACCTCCGTGTTCAAAAGAGAATGAAAATGACACTAGTTTATCAATTTTACCAATACCGTAAAAATTAGAATTTTATGGTGTCGCGATGTTCCTCTGCAAACGGACAAGGTACTTAACGAACTAAAACTTGGGCTTCTGTGGACTGTTCTCCCTAACTATTTAAAATGGGGGAGGTYGGGAAAAGACTGTGGTAGAAGCTCTCAAATAAGCTGTGTCAATGGTACTTTACATAAAACTGCATTGGTATCACAGTTTTGTGAAGCTGGTGTACTTACTTGGAAAGTCAAGTTAGGCTGGCCTGTTTTAGAGGCCTCTTTTCTGACRTCATTGTCTCATTTTTGTGTTTGTTTAAACACCTGGAAGTGGCATTTACATGCAGGTAAATCTAGCTGTCTGCATTGTTTGGAATTTAACAGGCTTTCCTATTAATGCTGTGCAGTACATTTCTACTGTAAGTGCAGGATTCCCATGTTTACTGTCTAATTTTAGGGTTTTTACACTGTTTTACTATGCTTAAACATTGTGGTTTTTTTTTTAAGATCATCATAAACCTGGATGTCATTAGAAGTGATGCTCATTTTTGATCTCTTTCGTATTTCTGCCATTGGAGATTTCATTTAACTGTAGTTATTGTACAAAATTTCTACCGTTCATGCCAGTATATATACACAGGACTGTTTAGCAGGGAACCATATTATGAGCAAACTCTCATTTTTAACAAAAATAATTTGATGACTGGGGAGAGACTAGGGTTAGATAAACATCTTATGAATTTGAGTTGAAGGTAGATATTTGGCTTAGAATAAAAATTCACTAGTGCAGTGTAGCTGAGCATAAACCAAAGAAAATGGTTTTGTTTCTTAGACCTTAATCTAGTATTGAATTAAAAAATGATGTACTCCCATGGGATTAACTCTCAGATTTCAAATTTCAGTAGTCCTTGATTACTCTTTGCAAGAACTTTTAAAACTGCTTGCTGATACTACAAGAAAACCATCCTTTGAATAAAAATTCAGGTTAGTGATTTGTTATACACCTTTTCTTATTCTGTTGATTTCAAGTGAAGTTTACTGAATACACATGTTTTCATTTAGCAAAATAGGTTAAGCTCTACTCACTCTAGACACCGTTTCTTGAACTATGACTCTTTCCAGTGCAGGTAAAATTGACTTGCCTAGGTTTCTGTAAATCTCAAGTGGTTTCCCTTAATTATAATCTGTGTAGAAACCTCAATYACTGCTACAAGAACCATCTTCAAACTTCGTTTTTATATTTTGTAGCTCCTAGAGCATTTCATTTTTCCTGAAGTCTTAATTCTAAGAGGATCATCTTAGAAATCTTAGAAAATATATGCTTATTTCTTCTTGCAGCAGGAATGAAGAAAACTAAAATTATTGTAGGCTTGTATAAAATAGTGCTTTGTACAAGCTRAAATTCCTGAGCAAGGTGGCATTCCCAGACGTCAGGGCTATTGTCAGTTTGCCTCTGAACCCCTGCATCCTGTGAGTGGTGGAAACTGCTGCACGGGCCAGGTGAAGAAGATGAGGAGCTCGTTGCCCTTCTCAAAGCTGGAAAACTGCAGTCATGTCAAGATAGAAAGTTTCTTCTGTGTGAGTAGGTTTTCTTAATGATTTAGATAACTGTATTAAGAATTCTTAAAAATTCTTAATTTCACATTGAAAGTTCTTTGCATATGTAGTTGTAATTTACTCCCAATCCCTTACCTTGCTTCTTTTCAGAAGTTAGAGTGACCAATGCAGCTTTTATCCCCTCCCTTCACGTCAAGACTATTTTACATCCTTGTTCTAGGGGAAGGTTTTAGAGAGGATTCACCTTAAATGTTTTTTTTAATGACATAATCCATTTATTTGAGGAGAACACAACAGCCCTGAGACTAGATAATACTATCCTATCATACAAGCCTTGAGTAATGACTAGAATTGATTTTTGTTTGTTTGCTTGTTTTAAACATCCACTACATTTCCTGACGAGTGACGGTAGTGCGAGTGGAAAAGGTTCAGCGCAAACACTGCCACTTCTGGCTGCTGCTCGGGGCAGTTCTGTGCCTGCCAGGCTCTCCAAATAGATCTGGTTTGGGGTTTAGTCTTGGAATAGTTACTATTCCAATAGTTACACACTATAGTTACACAGGAGTAAGTTACTAAAGCTAATTGTGAAAGGAATTTGGAACTTGAAGACACTACAGGGAAACCATTGTGGAAAGCAATAAATCTTGTTCAGTTTGCACCGATCAGATGTATTGTACAATAACAATTTATATTTTTAGTCATTGCCCATTATTATTGATGAACACTTGGTGAAATATTTTTGAATGAGATGTTTGGGGTTTGTATGTGCATTAAAATTGTCTTTTTGTACTGTAAGTTACTGTTTGATTGGGATATTTTATCAAGACTGTCTCCCTGTGCCTTTATATTAAAAGAAAGTTGTTTCCACAACTTCTAATGATATTAATAAAGAATACTTTAAGAACCTCATCTCACRGATACTCCTTTTGAGATCAGTCAGTGTTTGACATGTTTGTCTAGGATTCATTAAAATATTTGTAGAACTAGTTGTACTACTGCTATGATAGAATGCACTGTAGTGAAAGGGAATGGGGAAACTAGCTCTGTATCCATATATATATATATATGTATATGTATGAATATATATGTTTTGTGGGAGGGGGTAAACTGCCTATTGCAGAGCATAAGTGATCAGTCAGAGCTCTTTACCTTTTTAAAATCATCATTAGATTTAGATTCATTTTGCTAAGACATTTTGAGCTATATCTTCCTCTCTTATCAACTGAAAGATTGGGTAGCTTTCGATTCTTCAAATTATCTTCTCCTGTTCCTTGAATACTTATTTTTTTTTTTTTTTTATTTGGAGCAATTTAGCTTGCTAATAGCACTATCTTTTCAATATAATATCGTGGTAGTTAATATTAATTCATACTTTTTTTTTTTTGCTGTTTGTTTTATTCAGGATTTTTAGTGCCTAGTCTATTTGAAATTAAATCATGTAATAATTCTCTTCTGCCTTTCTGAGCCTGTGTAAATTGTTTAAAGAAAGGGGGAAAAAAAGAAAAATAAAAAATAGATTCTTCTAGATGCAATCCTGCTATTGCCACTTCAGGAAAGGTGAACTTGCAAACTGACACTTGTAAAATTCTCCAGTTACCTTCAGATGTTGAAGATAATCATAGTGCTAAGAAGCAGTGTAAATAATAACTATATGTTTGCTTTCAGCAGTTGTGTAACGTGATCCCTGTCACCTTCGTGGACTTCTCTATCTCTTTTTCTCCATCTGACATATCTGGATTCAGGGTTAACTCGATGCTCTTATTTTGTCAGTTATCTGTGTTKCATGGAACCCGCACTGCAGGAAAGTAGGATATTGAATGTCTTTGTAGAACTGAATGTGTGTTTTAGCACAGTGAAAAATCTCCTGCTTGGGCTGCAGATTAGGCTTTTGTCACCAGGCTTAATGCATGAGAATATGYCTGTTTTGCCTGGGTATTTATCTAGATGCATTGATTTTACAGGGTAAATGTGCAGGGGGTAGAACTGACTCGGTGTGCCCAGGCTCTGCCCAGCTGAGGGCAAGTGGAGGGCTCTGGCAGAGGACACACGTGTCAGCTCCCAGGAACTGCCCTCCTGACGGGAGGGAGCTCTTTCCACCAACAAGCAGCACCTTTCGAGCAGGGCAGCCAGGTATTCGTTAGCATTGAATGTGCAGAGGTGTATGAAAATGGCAAACCATGACTCTTAGTTTCTCAAAGCTCATCTCCTGGTGCTTGCACAGTTCTAATTTGGAGCACTAATGAGTGCTTTTTACAAAATTAAAAAAAATAATTCTTTTTTTAGTATTTATCTGGCAGATGTCTCTTCATTTGTTCCCAAGGAAGCTTAGACTTCACTGGGGAAGGAAATAACGGGGAGTGCAGCAGCCCTAAGCCCATTGATTTGCATGCTGCTGGTTGTGGTTGGTTTTGCTGTTGTTTTGTTTAAAAACTTCCTGGTTACACAGTGTACTTTGCTGAGGGGAACTTGACAAGGAAAATAAACASATATTTGTCCCAGGGCTGTTTACCTTGCAGTCCCTCTCAGCTGTGAGTGTGGTTACAGTTGTCTGCAATATTTTTGCAGGTGTTGTCACTATGCCATCCTGTTTTTTTTTCTAATTACTGTGTTAGAAGTGATGGTGTATTTTTTATTACCTAATAGTGAGATTATTTGTATATATTAAATTATATTTCTCTTTTTTAAAGTACCCTATTACTTTCAGGATAATCACTCAGCACAATCATATTCACTAAGTATAAATAGACTTTCTATTAACATCCCATTTATAATTGGCAATTGAAAAAAAAAWTTTTTTTTCTCATTACTTGCTACTTTCAGGAAAGGGGTAATTAGGTAAAAAGTATCTGGTGACTAGAAGCACGGTATTGCTCATTGTTTAAAACATTTGTGTGTTATATTACAAATTATGGAATGGTGTCCACTTTTTGTAGGGCATTTACTTGCTAAGATATACAGCTGCCCAAATACAATTAAATACATAAAATTTTGTAAATATTTTATAAAAAAAAAAAATCTTTGCCTATGGGCACAGTTGTCTCTTGCAAGTGTTTATGGTGTATTATCCACATACTTCAACAATAAGAATCTTTGGAGAAAAATGAATCTTGTGAGGTCCTTGTTCTCTAATTGCAGAGCAACTAATCTTCCTACGGAGCTGTCTTTGTTAGTACCTGGTCGTGTCTTTTGTAACGAGTAGTTCAGTGCAATAGGAGCCYGTTAGCAGACTGAAGAACTGGTGCCCAAGCCCCTATAGTGACACTATATGTGTATCTGAGTTGTTGTCAGGCCACATTATCCTGTACCCCGAATGTGTAAATTTATCTTCCCTGACAAGTTTTCCTTAGCAAAGTATACTTTGTAAAACAGCAAGTGRTTAAGCAACACGACATCTTCAGTGAGTTAAATGTGAAATGTTTAATTTTTGTCTTGAATCTGTATATATTAGTTGAGGTTGAAAGACGCTACACGTGGATAGGATTTTTTGACTTAGCTTCTTGGGAAGGAACCTAGTTCCCATGCATTAACACAGCAACCAAACCAAGATGTTCAAGTGGGGGAGTGATTGAGAGAACTGCTTAAAAACTGTCATCTTTGAACAGAAGTGTTAATGTAAACTCCAGCCTCCAATAGGCAAAGATATTGCTCACAGAACAGGCAAACTGCAATGAGTGAACTTCCTCTGAGATGTTACATTTATCATATATCTATGCTTTTTATTGTTTTTTTTTAAATTTTGTTTACAGTTTTTATGTGCACATTGAGTGTAGTCTCGTAGCTAAACGTGGTATTTTATATGTGAAAAGCCTGATAACCTCATTGCCCTGCTTTCTTGCCTGTATCCAAGTCGCTCTCATCGTAAGATCTGATGTCTAAGTACCTAAAACCTGATATTATACTGATGTTAATTTAAAACTGGCAATTATTTGGAATTATATCTTTGTTCTTAAATAATTTCTAAGCAAAAGTTTTGATTTTTTCCARTGCAATTATTAAGGTTTATGTTGCCTAAGATTAGGACACCAGTCTTTCAGACTCTGCGASTTGTCAGTAATGACGGATTGCAGCTCTGAATTTTAAATGTCACTTGGTCTCTGACAGAGCTTATCTGAAATACACCCAGAGGACCATGTCTGTTTTCATTACTGTAGAAGAAATCTAAAGAGGTTAATTGTTTATTGTAATGCCTGATTTCTGGAGGTAAGAGAATATTCCAATGTGATGGACCAATAGTAAGTAGTCCCCTTAAGGTAATCCCTGTGAAAAGAAGCTATATTCTTAAAGATTTTATATATATGTGTGTGTGTGTATATATATATAAAAATATTTAATTTTATTTTGCCATATATATATTTAATTATGCATTTTTCCAGACTCATCTTGAAGAATATAATTTCATCAGGTTTGAAATAAGACCCATCACAAGTCAGATAGCAGAAAAACAGTGGTTTGAGGCATTAAACAAAAGATGAAATCATGGYGCAGAACAGCTTCGGTAGGTACAACATCAAAATTGCATTGGGAGTTGTGTCCTACACATTTTTGTTTCTTGTTGGCCAAGTGTGATTTCTGAGTGTCACCTAAAAAGCAGTGCTCAGAGGTTCAGAGCTCTGGATGCCAGGACTCTACCATTGCTTGGCACAAAAGCAGCCAATTCCTATAGAATTTCCTACTAGTCTGAATTTATTGCTCTTCCTGTAAGATGCCAAAGCTGCAGCACTGCAAAGGTCTGTGGCTAAGCAATGAGCTGCTCTGTTGATTAATCTGCTTTTTGCTGAATAGCAAATTGCTCAGCTATGTTTTAGGAATGACAGGTGGGCCTTCTCTTAGTGTTCATGCAGCTCACACTATTAATGTGCCATTAGCTAAGCCTGTATAAAATACAAAATTGCATTTAGTGGATGGCAGATAATTAAGTTCTTGTAGCTCAGACCCATCAGTCCAAGCATGTCTGCTAGTGCTGCTTTTAAAATAAGTAATTCTCCTTTTSTCTTGGTGTAAAAGAGGGGTATTATTTCGGATCCCACTTTCCCTGGGCCAGAGCACACGAATGATAACGTGGCATGTGTGCAAGTATCCAAGAAAGTCACCAACATAAGGCAAGCCAGTCCCTTACTGCTACCACACTTCCCAGGTATATCTGGGAATATGTCACATAGCCCAGGGTCCTCTGAAGTTATTGGACTCTTTTCTGGTCACTCACTCTGTTAAACAAATTCTGCTTAAGGCAAACTGTGTGACCTATGTGTATAATTTCCCATGTAATTTCCTTTTCTATTTTCTTTCCTCTGCTCTCTGAAAATGTAGATATAAATGTACCTACAAAAGTGATACCTGAATGCTAATCTTTACCTCCAACTATATAAGCTACTGGAGACTTCCTTCTGCAGAAACACCCTTCAAATTCAGTGATCTCTACCCTGAACTGAGTGAGTTAAAACACAGGGGGAAAAAGCTTAGTAATTGTGGAGCAAAGATATATTTRGATGACCTGATAGCTGCAAGTAATTGTTCTGGGTCGGGTGCAGATGGGTTTCAAACAGATCCTGGCAGTATTCCATGTAAGTAAAATTAATAGTAGACATTTGAGTTTTAAGAGTAAACATTTGGTTTTAAAGAGAAATAGGATAGAATCTCTTACCTTCCTGGCATAACARGTATTTAAAGCTTTTATTTTCTCTATGATACACCTGTCTCAAAACAATAATATGATCAAAATAAATTTGGAATTGATTGAAGGTTATTTTGTGCTTTGGAAAGGTAAATAAGAAACAGAGGATGGTTTTAGACACCAAAGTAGTTTTAGTGTTGGCAAGAAAACTTAGATAAAGAATGC